TTGACAAGACTCAAGACAAAGAAGGGAATGATCAAAAATATTTCTACCCATCAGCGGAGGAACAGTATGTGGAATTAATACGTGGTCCAAAACTTCATTAGGGACGTGGCGTAGACCGTTACTGGTCCCCAGGCCAAACTCAATTAGTTGTTCTTGTTTTAAGCTTAAGTTAATAGAAGAAAGCCCCCCCTAGAGGCCAGGGAAGGGTACCTACAACTCAGTGAACTTCCTGAACAACACCGCATGCAGTACTTCCCCTTTAAACTGCGCGTACTGGAAGTCATTATGTCCACGACTGTCCTCACGGATACGCTAAGACAGATGGGTCTTTTGTGAAGTGGTGTGCGCAAACATTTGAGGGGGAACTGTATGTTTATGTATGTGTGTGGCAGGAAACGCTAATCTGTAATTACTACCTAATTAAAGCAGGCCTATCATAAAGGTACAATCACTCGCGGGGTACTTATGGAAACACTGGCAGACACATACAGTACCTCGAAATACACACCTTCATTCCCACAAGCACATGTAGACGCTACTAGACCCACATGTCTCTCCACCTCCCTCCCTCGCTCCCTCCTCCCCCCCGGTCGCGCAGCAGCACATGTTGCTGTGTGTTCATGTCTTTTTGTAGTGCCGTTAATTTCAGCCCACAGGGGAAAAAATAGAGACAGACACTCCTTGGGTATTTGGAGGATCAATCACAACAGCCAGAGATAGTTCTTAATGTCGCTTATGTCCAGTTTATACCAGTAGGCACACTGAGACGGGCTAAGCCTTAGCGTTAGCTTGGTGGAAATTAGCTTGGTGGACATTAACTTTGGTGGATAGGGACGTTCAGGTCGTTTGGAAAAAAAAAAATTGTAATTTACACATTTATACAAATAATACACATATGTAGGCTATACAGTATGTGATGGCTCTTCGTGGGTTCTAATGGCGAGCAGAGAACGCTAGAACCGTAGTAAGGTTTCACAGTTTTCTACGTTAGCCTACATTTCAGGCACTAGAACTTGTAAAAAAATAATAATAAAAAAAAATTATAAATTCACTTTCTACAATTCAGAAGAAGTTGTTCATCAATCAGCATCACCTTAAAAAAAAAAAAAAAAAAAAAAAGAGTATGACAAAAACAACCTCCTAACCCTAGGGCTCTAACAGGCCCAGGGGCTCGGTGGTGGAGAGGGAGGAGGAGGAGAGAGGAGATGTTTTTGTTCTATTTGTCTACTCCCTCCTGTCTGTATTAACATGATGCGCAAACACACAAAAATAAAGTAAATAAAAAAAACACTGACTATCCCGACTTGACCTGACAGAGAGCCAGGCTCGACTCTACTTAAGCTCAGTTGCAGCCGTTCCTGTCTGTGTGAGTAGACAAAGGGAACCTCCTAATGCTAACCAGTCTTATCTGACTCCACTGAGGATGACAACACCACTGACACACAGCTCCAGAAAACAGACGTTATTGACCCACGGTGGCATCGAACCCAGCACCAAACGCAAGGTGCAATTTAGACAATATTTAAAAAAAAAAAAGACAAACACAAAGTCACCTGGATTATCACCTGGTTAGCGTTAAACATTAGCAATACTTCAGTAGGAAAAATACAAATGATAATAATAAGAATATAGTATCATTTAGCAACAGATGCCACAGTAAAAGCCCACGGTCTCATATCACAAGTTGCTGCTTTTATTTTATATTTACTAAGGCGATACATATGTCTTTTTACATTTCTTTTTGAACATTGTTTGTGGTTGTGCTTATTCGTTTGATTTTGTCAGATTTACACAATCGAATGTGACACATTCGACTGTTATAACAACTAATAAACACATTTATTTATGTTATATTAGACTAAAGGAAGTGACAGTTCCGTTTAGGCCCGTGGTCACATATAATAAATCCCAACTTTAAATATTTATTTTTTAGCATTATTTGATGTACGACACTGGACGCATTTTGAGTCATAACCATTTAGCACCAATGTGTAAAAATTTTTTTTTTTTAATTTTTAATAAATATTGACAACATTATTACGTTAATCTAAACTGTCGTGTTTGCTGTGCAAAACATTCGTGTCTTTGTTTTGACAAGTCTGCGGTGGTTCGACTGTGTTGATTAACATTCGCAGTTGTTTACAGGTTAAACAATAGACTGCTGCGTCTCGATCCTTCCTTTGTACGCTGCTTTATGCTGCGTGTCCACTTTCTTATTCTAATACGGATGATAAATAATGATAAATGAGAGGGGGAAAAAATGAAAAAAAAAATGAAATAAATTAAAACAGTTGACTATCGCGGTGATACAGCAGTCAGAATAGGAAATATTAACGTAGCGAACACCTGTTTTTTAACTTTAGGCTGGGACGGGATGTTGAAAAAAATAGGAACTGGCCCTTTAAATGTGCAGCCCTGCTCTATGAGTCCTTACAATAACGACATGGAGGTGGTGAATGTACGGGAATGTACTCACCACCGCGCACACACGCGTGGCGGACATCATCCCGGTGGAACACACGATGATGCTGCGGTCCTGTCTGCCGGAGTTGTCGGCCCGAGGAAGACTTCTCATCTCTAGATGTTTCTCATCCTCCTCACCCTTCTCCTTCCTCCTCCTCCCGAGCCTGCTGGAGGAGAGCGGCTGATGCGGCAGCGTCAGTCTCAGCTGCAGCGTTTCCTCCTGGGCGTTTGGACGGGAACCATCGTGCCTGTCATTACGACAGAGCTCAAAGGGTTGTTGTTTTCTTCTTCTTTCTTTCCGTCTGTGTCCGGGTTCATCAAAGTGCAGCTTTGGATCTCCCTCTGACTCCCACCCTGCCTTCTTTCCAGCTCTGCTGAGCTCGAGGGGGCACAGCCGGGATGACGCAGAGGGTCAGAGGTGGGACTTAGCGACGTGCCTCAGCCAATGGCAGTGGCGCGAAGAGCGGAACACGTGTGTGAGATCCAATCTGTATGCCGAGCCGGACATGGGTGTCTGGCAGGTGCAGGCAGGTGCAATTCCCCCACAGTACCCTGACCACGGGTGGGAGAGACTCAATGGTAACAATAATAATTAAATAATTTAATAATAATAATAATAAGAAGAAGAAAGTTAATTTAATTGGTGCCCAGCACAGGGAGTAACGACATCTAGTGGTGAAGTTATAGTACGTGTTGTCATTGAATGTCCCCCACCACCTCGAAAACGCAGCATGAGTATAATTTTTTAAATATATTATATATATATTTTTTAAAATAATTTCCATGTTTGTCAGTTTATTTATAAATATAAATAAAAATATAAAATTATAATTTAACTTCACATAGTTTTAAATCAAGTTAAATAATAATAAATAAAAAAATGTATTTAATAAATACAAATGTTTTTAATTTATTTAATATTTTTTTAATTATTATTTAAACTAGCGTACGTCAAAAATAAAGCATAGCATATAATACAGTTTTCCTGTGAAACCTGTTCAAGAGCTAATGGTTTACCAGAGTTAACTTTGGGTAAAGTGATACTAAAATAATCAGATTCTGGCTATTCAAATGGATTGCGTTTGAGAGCAATGTAATGGCTAAATTATCATATAATGCACATTTTCATTGTCTGTCTATGTTACGTAAGGGGGAAAAACGAAGAAGCAGGCAGGACACTAAATGCAGCATTCAGGAGCCAACGATCAAGTGAAGGACATTTATTTAAAGTCCAAACTGAAATACATAGAGAACATGGAGAAAAAACTGTACATAAACAGTTCCACAGCTGTTGCGATGACCGTGACCTCCCTGGGAAACATGAAACATGACAACCCAAAAAAAAAAAAACTCTTGCGACCCACCTGAGGGGCGCGACCCAGTCTTTGGGGAAGAGTCTTTGGCCTAAGATGTGATACAATAGATACCAGCCACAATAATAACACCAAATACAGCAGATATTACCTCTTTAATACAGTGTTTCTGAAATATTGTGCTAATAATATTCATTGTCCCACAGTCATTTTTAGAACCTATGGTGTTAAGTAACAGTCAGAGACACATGGCAACAGCCATCTGTTTTGGCTAAGGCTTTTTTTTTTTTCTTTTTTTTTGACTGTGACAGTGAGTGTGGGAATGCCCCTGTCCCGTATGTGTCAGCGGAGCAGACGAGTAGCCCGGAGTCAGCAGCTCAGTTATCAGTTCCCAGCAGTCAAGCTGTCATCTATCTGGTTACCGACCAGGTGTTGAGAGATGCAGGCGAAACACACGCAGGGTTTTGGTCAGGATCAGCCAGGCAGTTAGTAAACAATTTGTACATCCACACAAGCTGGCCTGTGGTTAGTCTGAAATGTTAGTGCAGGTATATGCAGATGATATATGAATGGTGCACCACCTGCCCTGCAGGTGAAAAGAAAAGAAGAAGAGAGGAGAGGAGTCTGTGTCAAAATATTTTTTTCAAAGTTGGGTTGTATATGAAGACATGCAATCTCGACACACACACACACAAAAATCTCTTAAAAATCTTAAACTCCTGACGAGGCATGGGGTTCTTTTTAGAAGATCTTTCAGGCCTGTACACCCATTTATTCTTATACTAAAGTCAACGGTGAACCGTTTACCCTTTAACAGAACGCTGGGATTTTGCTGCCATCTTCTGGACATGTGAAGTGTACGTCAAAAAAATACAAAAAAAAAACTACAAGATGAGATGAAAACTAATCGTATTCTTGAGAAACTACTTCAGTGAACAGCGTACTTTCCTGCATGGGGGTTGTTGTTGTTTGTTTATTATAATTATCATGTCTTTAGTGAAATCAAATCCACACAAACACAAGGGTCAAATCTGAAAAACTGTCATATGTTGTTCATTTTATTCATGTTCAATACCACTTTTTTAAAAACAAAATTCTTACGTTTACATCGTTACGTGACGTGTACATTTTAAATTTGGCCACTAGGCGGACGTGTCGCACAAAAGTTACTTTTCTTTTCTTTTCAGTCCCAACAACTACTAAAAATAAAAATACCTGCTCAGTGCTAAGCAACAATTCAAAAGCAATAACAGTACAACAGTCCGGGAGCTAGACTGTATTAAGTGTTGGGGCAGGTGTGTGTGTGTGTGTGTGGTCAAGGTCATTTGCATACAATTTGTGTTTTTGTTGCTCTGTTGACATTTTTGTTTGAACGGCACACACCAGGATACATTTGGACTCAACTACTTCCGTTTATTGACCACAGGCTTTGCTTTAAATAGTACAGCCCGAGGACAGGTGTCGTTTAATGTTTCTGTTGTAGTTTTGCCAGAACTTTCAGTTAGATTAGTTGGGTCATTTTTTCAAAAAACAGTGTTTCAGGTGTTTCAGATCCTGGTTTGGACTATACACTTGGTCTATATTTCTATTGACAGTAAACTGGGATAAACGACAATGGCAGAAATGACTTTTCTGAATAGAGTGAATCATTGCCTAATCCTACAAATGTAAAATGAATCATAGTTTTATTAAATCATAGCCTCGGGAATGAAGATCTACCGTACCTCACATCTGTGATTCAGATATTTTAGTGTTAGTTATTGTTGTAACACTGGAAATCTGAGCAGGTCAAAAATATTTACACGACATTTTAGGACACGACTCCTGTATTAAAAGGCAGTGGAAAAGGGCTTATTACACTGTATAGAGAGACGAGTATTACATTGGTAGAAATGCGTATCAACAAACTAAACTTTATGAAAAGATAAATACGGAATGTTGTGAAAAATGTAATGCTATTTAACTGTTGCCTTTCTATGGTCGTTCGTACGCAACAGTGGATACTGTACTTCACTGAATGGACCAGTGGGGGAGCGGGGAGGGAGAGAGGAGGGGGACGTCAACAATCCATCAACCCTTTCCTCTCGTGGGACTGAATTCAGCGGGAGTTTGAAGCCTGAATAAGCTGTCTACTTTGCTGTGTTTTGGACAGTGGCGAACGGCAACAACAGCAGCAGCGAAAGCAGCAACATTTCACGCAGTCAAGTCCAAGAAAGGTGGAGACTCCTGGTCAACTTCCTGCACCATAATCTTGCAGCAGCACCCAGAGAGAAGTAGGGAGGCGGGCGCTGCCACTTCTGCTGAGAATGCTCGGCTGAGGACGAATGGATACACGGCGTTATTGACTTATTTACTGGTCGATAATCGACAGCGTACACCCCGTGGACTACTGTACGTGGCTACCTGGCTAGTCGCTAACTAGCGTCGGTGCTGCTGGAAAACACATTCCCAGCGTTCGAGAGTGAGGCGCAGCGAAGGGCAGGAATGGGTGAGTTTTCCATGATGTGGCGTTTGGTTTTGGATTTTGACACGCACCGTCCACTTTCCACCGTTGTGTTTCGCGCTGTTCTGTTGACATAAAGACGGTCAGTCGGGTGGACCGTTAAGGCAGGAGACGGAGTCTCGAGTCGTTCGCACAGCTTTTGACAGTAAGGAGTTAAAGTGAGCCCAGCCACTTAGCTAGCTGGCTGGGCTAGTCAGCTAGCCGTCTTCTCCCCCCTGGATAACGCCACCTCCATCCGCGGAATTGCCTGCAATTCTAGTAAATGTTCACTTGAGACCGTTCAAAGCTGACGTCAGCACCATATTCCAGTACCGAGGAGCTTTATGACAAAGTCGGCTCTTTTAGGTGCCACTGGTTCTTATATCAGGTCCTCGGGCAGGAAACCCTCTGAACCCAAGAGCAAGTTTACTGCTGAGAAAGGTTAACTTCCTCCATTGTTTTGCTGCTGATAGAAGATTAAATGGGTCCATTCACAGCAAGGTGTCGTGACATCGCATTCCTTTCGTAACACTGACAGTTTTCCTGCAACTTTTCACACCCAGTACGAACTCACCTGCCTCCCTGTCTCACACTGGGCCAGAGTGAACCAAGGTTGGTTCCTATTATTGATGAGGACCTGTGGGTTAATGTTACCTCAATATCACAACTTAAAGTTCACTTCTCTGACAGCTGACATTACATATTCTCAACATCCTTGTTTCATGTTCATAACAATACCTATAAAGTAGCAAACGAAACTGCAACTAAGCCTTTCTCCTCACAGGGTTATGAATTGTTTTGAAACCTGATTCACATCTGCAGATAATCGTGAAGTTTTCTCTTTGATTTATTTGCTTTCTTTAAAAACTATACAACACCTGTCCCCCCCCAACCAAAAAAAAAAGCCAGATGGAGCAAAAGCATGACCTGTTTTGCAAAGATAAAGATAGACAGCAGCGGAAGATAAAGTTTTCTGGGGGTTTGTGATTGTCATTAAGCTCTGTGATTCGAAGCCTGTGTGTGTATGTGTCATGAAACCTGCTGACGGCATCTTTCTCGGTACAGTACTGTGTGTGTGGGTTGTATGTGGTAGGACTTGTTCAAGGACCGGGCTATGTTGTAAAACAGGTTTCAACAGCTTTGGTTAGCCCTCATTTGTGTGAAGCTGCAAACGTCTTCTGTCCGAGAACTGCTGGGAAAAACTGCAGAAAGGTTGTTTCTGCTTTAACTAACTGGTCTGTTTCCGATCTTTTATCAGAAGGCCCGTAAGGACAGTCCTTCCACTAAAAGTTTCTTCTTTTTAAGTATGGATTGCGTAATAGTAAATAGTCAGTAACCATGCAATGCGGGACATGTTCAGAAAACAAACTAGGTTGGGTGAATTTTTATTTACGCAAACACGGCCATCAAATGATTGGACCAATCCGCTTGAGCTACACCTCCAGTCTGTTGAGCATTTATTGTCACCGTTATTGTTAGTGTGCCATGGTTCAGTTGCTCGCGGCTTCTCTTCGCTGCTGTGTTTGAACATGTCCAGGCTCTGTGTGAGAGCCCCCCCACCCCCACCCCACCCACCCAGCCTTCCCCTCGGAGTGTCTGCTTTCCCTTCACCTTAGTCTGAGTAGCCTGCTCCAGGGTTGCTAAGTTAAAGTCACAAACCACCCTGGCAATGCTGCGAGTTACTCCGGACCCTGTGTCTTTATTTCAAATGTCAGGTAATATCGAGTGGAAATGAGGACAGGGTGAGTCAAGAAGGGAGATTGAATGTCATTGCTGAAAAGTATCTGCCTGAATTTGTATTAGGACGTTTTATTACATGTGCACCTACATACACCCAGGTCACTTACACTACCAAATTCCTGACTTAACTGTGTAATTCCCCGGCTATTCTTTTAGACTCCACGGTTGGCAGAAGTCCACTGGAGTTTATGGTTATGTGAAACACTGAGTAAATGATTCAAACTTAAATTCTCACCGGATTCTCCTACTGTAGGACAATTAAAGAGAAAAAAAAATCAAGATTCATTTTGATTTGACTTTTGACCCCACTGACATTTGGAACCACTGACCACTGACATGTTGCTAAATCTGATCAATACAACAAGACATTTACACTGTCATGCTGAAGTCACCTTTTTCTATTCTTATAGACAGGCCATAGGCCCAGGAGTTTAAAGGTGTGGGTTTGAAAGGTTTTGGTCAATTATTAGCTGATAATGTGTTTATTTTTATCAGCTCAATGATGTTATTTAGCCAGATAATTCCCCGATTTCATCAAGTCTCACTGCACTCTTTATATTAAGCAACAGAGCCATTAGCACGTGGACTGGAAACAGTGTGATAAGGCTAAAACATATCTTTGTCGGACTCAGTGTAGTGATGGATGGCATCATCTCTAAATATATGTATATGTATGTATATACTTAAGGCTAACAATTAAACAATTATTTTAAAAGTTAAATCAGTCGTAGAGGCGGCAAGAACAGCTAGCGCAGAGGCTAAAAGCTCGAAACTGATTGTCACTTGTACGGCAGAGTAATTTTCCTTTTAAATTTATGATTACACACTGATACTGTCATAGCAGGGCGCATCAGTACGAGTATCGTAAAAACCCAGCAGTACAAAACCCTTCCACTCACAGCATAAAATTACAGTTTGCTAAGTGCGTGCTGGACCATAATCTTTTATTTCAATTGCGTGTGTTTTTAGGTAATAAGTCACAGATACAGTAGTTGCATATTTGGCAATATTATGCCTTTGATTGACACCTAGGTAACCTTTTGTATGTGAAAACTCACAATCAAGTAAACTAAGACTGTAGGCTCTGTAATTTGTGAATCGGGACTAGTCTATTACAAGGAATGATTAACTCAAGTAGAGCTTCCAGGTGTGTGTAGATTTTGGCATGGCTTTGCTTAAATTACACACTTGTCTTGACAGTAAAGAGAAACGGACAAATCCATGCGTTCATCTCGATAAACGACACCTTTCTCTGAATGATTCCCTGTTAGCTCTCTGCTATCAGCTATCTCTCAGAGAAGGAATGCAGTTATGAGTTTCCCACTTATTGTGTTTATGACTTTGAGGGAGGGAAGCGCAAACGGCAGACTGATTTAACAGTCCTGCCTGGCAGTCAACACGTCTGCATGGCCTTCAGTATTCCCCGTTTCTCTTTCTTCCTTCCTTCCTTGCTTCCTCCCCTAGAACTCTCTCCCCCCCCTGCCCCCCAAACATCCTCTTCTTGGCACTAGCTTTTATTGTGCAAAGCTGTACCTGGAAGTATTGTCTTAGACCTGGATTACATACTCCAACAATGATATTTGTCCTGCTCTTCTTTAATATTGTAATTGCAGTGAAAGTAAAAATATATTGTTCCACGCAAGAAGCACTGCCAAGAGTGAAATAAAACATAATGAAAGGAAGCCGCATGTTTGATTATAGAAACAATGGCCTTACTTAACCGATCGTTCACTATTGGTCACGATACAATGCAGTTATTTGCCATTGTTGGATACAAGTGTTTCTTACAGGATGGCATCCAAAATGTAACAATAGTTAAGACATGTATTTGCATTTGTTTTTCTGGCCAATAGTGATTTTCTATTTTTCTTTTTCTTTTTCTTTTTTCTTAAGCGGGCCTTTGACTGACCAGAAGTGACGGCATATTACTACATTTTACTCCTACATGATGAAACATTTCCCACAAACTGCACTGCACAGTTTCTCTCCTTAGTTCAACATCTTTCAAAAGTCTGGTCTGAAATGAGGTACTACTAGAAATAGGTTCCTGTGCACCAAACCGAGTTTGTGCGAAACGTCTGCATAGTCTGTGTCTGTCCACAAACGAATTTCTAATTTTTTTTTATGCTAAGTGTGCATGTTTAGCTGGATGTATTTTAAGCATGGACTTCCGAACACTTCATGGTAGCGCCAACAATGTTTACCATACTTTTTTAAATGTTAGAAAAAGCTAGCTTAGAGCTTTCTTGGCCCGCTGTAAGTTACTCACAAGCTAAAATCATTTCAACTTGTGAGTCTGAGCTTCCTTCACAGAACCTATGCACGAAATGATCAGCTGCAAAACAGAACAACAGTACATGTGCTGGTTGGTCAACTGGTACATCTCTACAAGCTAGCTAACTAATATCTGTTTACGTTTCATTGTCTTTTCTCTCTCCATTAATGTGGTAATCCAGTTTTTCCAAATGGACCTAGTAATACAGGTCCATTGTAAAAAAAACAACACCACATGATTAGGATCATGGGACATTTGCTCTCACTGACTCGTATCTTTCATTTATTGGACCTGGTTAAAATAAATCTCTATCCTGGCTGGATGTGATGTTTCTGCTATCTTGGGAATTCTGTGGCTGGGGAAATGTTTGACTTGTTCCTTTTTGACTGTGAAATGTGAGTTTTGGTACACAACTCAACTTAGATATTTTAAATGGTATCAGAAGAAATGATGTGACTAGGACATAATTAATACCTTGTAATGGAATGTTTTCTCAACTTGTGAGCAGAAATGTATCCATAGAAAGAACTCTGCTGTTGACTAAATCGTGGAGAAATCTTCAACCAGAATCTCAGTCAAACTGTCTCCCCAGTTTTTGATCATCCCACTCATCCCCGTACTTGCCCTTGTGCTTCTTTGAGCTGCTGCAAATATGCCAGGAATCCCCAGCCACCACTTCTTAAGGCCTAGGTGTTTTCGATGCCACACTTTTAACAAGAACAAATGGAGACATTGCCCTGCGTTCTTGAATGTTCAGAGCCTGTATGGACACTTGTGATTTAACTTAAATCCAGTGGCTTTGAGGACGTTTGGGTGGATCGTCGCCACGATGTTTCACAAAGGTCAACCACGAACTTATCAAGTGAAAAATGCAAAGCGATCAATGACAAAAGTTTGGTGCGAGTGGGTATTTCTCTATGACTAGGTGAAAGCAGTGGAGTTTAATCGGTGTTTTGGAAAATCTACTAGACTTTTTGGCAATAGCTGTATTGACTATTTTTATGCATGTAAAATCAATCGATGTAAAATGTAATCAAGGTTTTTGTTTCAAGAACAGTGCTTCGAAAAAGAATCATGAATTTTGCACTACCAACACTACGTTATGATACTATGTTGTTTACTGATCGGAAATGAGTAAAAATATCCAAAGCTAAAATAACTTTCTTCCTCTTTCTTATTTGTTCCTGTTCTCAATTCAATTCAACTTTTTCTTTTTCTTTTGTCAGTGATGGACCCAAAGCCAAACAATTCAGATATCGCAGTGTATTAAATCTGTTTTAACTTTGTTTCAAATGATTTTTTTAAATTTTTGTCGTGTCCCGTCTTCGGACAAATCTTAATGTACCTCAGTTACCTTGCAACACCGGTGTGTGTAAGCTGCGAAAGAAGTAGAAAGAAAAGCCCAATGGCTGAACTGGTGACCTTCACTTTGAAGGGCAGTAGGCTCAGCACTGCTCTGCTGTGTGTCCTCCGCCCTTGGCAGGACGGAGTTTATTGTAGTGTTTCCTCAGATGACCCACTTGAAAAATATCCAAAATGCTGATTCACTTCCATTTTATGCAGGCTACGGAAACATGTATGCCAGCTTCCTGCTTTGCATACGGGCCAGTGTGTTCAGCTTCTTACAAGCTAATGTATTCTCTCACAGTGTGTGTGTGTGTGAGTGTGATGTTTTTGAATATTATGATGCACAGTAGCTACTAGGTCAGACATGGGCAAACTAAGGCCCGGGGGCCGGATGCGGCCCGTTCAGCTTTTTTAATCCAGCCCGCCAAACTTGCCCAAATGATATAATTTATTTATATTATCATTATACCTTTGCCTTTTCCCTGCAATGCCCACATTTCTCCAATAGATGGTGTATAAAATGATAAAACCATTTTAGCGTGTTAGCCTTTATGCATGACTTTTACATGTCATTTATTTTTTTACATTGTTGTGTAAATTGTATTCTTAAATTAAGCTCAATCTACGGGGTGTACTGTTGTTGGTTTTTTTTTTTTTTTTTTTTTTGTTGCTGTGTTGCTTTACTCTAGTACTTCCATTAAGAGAAGACTCCCCTGCCCTTTAGGGTATTGAAACTATTAATGTAGAAATTCCCCTACTGTTGCTGACTGACAGGAAGTGTGCTCCAGCTAGGTACACACACATACACACAATCACACACCACCTGTATACTGACTGATCTGGTTGTGTTCAATCTATGTGGAAAGGTATTTCCTCCTAGGAAGAAACTGGTTGGACTTTGTCCAATGTCCCCTCCTACTGGTATTTACCAGTTCTGTCTGTCAATAATGATTGGTTAACAAGGGCTTTGCAGACATATAATATACATAATGTATAGTAAGTTGATGGATTTTTTTTAAACCTCAATGATAAACATTATAGGTTCAAAAGTATATTTTATAATTGCAAAAATATTTATAGGAAGCACTAAATTAATCACAACCTGTAATTGAACAGATATTGATTTTTAATCCTAAATTATTCTTAATATAGATTACTTAAATCGTTCGTACAGTCACATTTCTTATTCAGAATTTAAAAAAAAACCTAAATCCAAAAATTTGAAATGATCGTTTTGTACGCTCAGAAAAAAAAAAAAAAAAAATCACATTTCACTGGCCTGTAATCATGGAGTATTTTTAGTGGAGCTGCAGAGATCCAATGTATGGTTAAGGAAAGTATATATATATATGTGTGTGTGTGTGTGTGTAGTTCTGATTTAGTTGATACTGATACGATGGGGCAGTCGTCTTCAGCTGGGAGTGTTTGTGCGGTTGCACATACGCCGTAGTCTGCGTGGCTGCACTAAACTCCCTGTGTTCCTCATCCAGTCATCTGGAAGTTGAGTACTTTTTTCCTCTGTGCTGCATTTGCTCAGCAGCGTATGATTTTTTTTTTTTTTTTTTTCCCCTGTCACTGTTCCCTTTTGTTTACTACAGCTGAGCTGACGCTATCTCTCCCTGTGGTTACTTGGACAGATAGTGTTAAATTACTGTCTGGGCCCTTGGCTGTGTTGTTTATTTGTGTATGCCTGGCTTTAGTGGTTACGGGTTTTTTTTTTTTTTTCCCTGCCCTATCTATCTAAACCGCGTGTCGAGCATAAGGCCCCTGGACCAGATTCAGTCCGTCGGGTCATTTTAAGTGGCCTGTGGGACTACCATGTTTTTTTTTTTTTCCTCACAATGTTACCGTCTCTCAATGGTTATATATTTTATGTGCGCCTCCTGCAGGGCAGCGTGCGGTCTTTCCTCACTTCATTCACTTCTATCCTTCGCCGCCCACTACAGTACGTTGTACGTAGTCATTTTGTCCAATAAAATGTGTTGACTTTTGCCTTGACGAAATGTTAACCAAACAACTTCTGCCTGTTCGCTGTGTTTTGCGGTGAATTGTATTGACAAAACAATTACGCGGTCATATTGAGAGGCCTTAAATATGGCTTTTAAAAGTTTGAAATATTTCATTTTGTATAGATTCCTTATGCTGATAATTAAAATATATATATATATGTTTAAAACACAGATTCATTTCGGATTGGTTAAATTTACACGCTATTTATTGCTGACCTTATTGTCGATGCGGCCCTCATTAAAAATAGAACCGGGTATCATCAGATTTAAAAGTAGACTTAGACTCGTGGTGTCTCCAAATGAGCCGGAGTGCTTTTTTTAAAACATCAGCAATGTTAAACATTTTCATCAGACTTGCAGACTTGTCAGGACATGTCAGTCATGAGAATTTACTTTTGGGTATCACAAACAATCTATTCTTATCGCACTGTTGTGCACAGAGGGCCAGTCTAGGCACACGCCTTATAATAATAATAATACTTGTTACTATTATTACAACATGTTTTTAATGGTGTTTTTCCTGCCCTTATTCTTCCATCCACATTCCAAATATTGACTGGTCCATTTTTGTTTGTCGCCTTTTCACGTGTTCAACAACTTGTCTATGTTTTTCTAAAGAATACCCGCCCAAGTCTAGCACCAGTTTAGCTTAGCGTGTTGTAATCGTCACACATTTCTTCATCAACCTCACCCACAATAATGATAAAAATCGACGGAAACCCGTCAATGTTAGCAATTCTTTTGTCTAAGCCAGGCGTGGGCAAACTTTCTGACTCGCGGGAACTAAGATAAATGACATGTAAAAGTCATGCATAAAAGCTAATACGCTAAAATGTTTTTAAAATTTTCTAAACCACCTATTGGGTAAACATGGGTATTGCAAGGAAAAGGCAGAAGTATAATGATAAGATACATAAATTATATCATCTGGAAACGTTCGGCGGGCCGGATTAAAAAGATGAACGGGCCGCATCCGGCCCCCGGGCCTTAGTTTGCGCATGCCTGGTCTAAGCAGACCGACGTGCTTTAAAATATGACGAGAGCTCATTCGGTTCCGCGTGACGCGTCATTCCAAATGTTTTTGTTTTGACTGTTTCATAGGAGGCCAGCCTGAGTTGCAGTAATGAGCCGCACCACACGGTCAAATACCTTGCCCCGAGTTAGCTCTCCGCGGCCCACTTATTTTTAGAGGCTGCTCAACCTGCTGCACTGGAAGCAGTCTGGCTGCTTCTTACGTATTGTTCTTTCCATTCTTACTTTTAAATTACCGGTGACAACATTATTTCCTCTGACAAGCCTTCTTTTTTTTTTTCTTTTTTTTTTCCCCCAGTGCCGCACAAAAAACAACAACAGCTTAGCGTTAAAAACCATGTTATTTTTACTGTGGCTTTACGGCAACGCAAAGTAGCTGGAATTATTTTAATAGAAGTCAGTTCAGTTTAGTTTGCATCTCCATCCAGGCAGGGAGCGTTTCCGTGCGGAGGTTTTACATTTGGCAGTGTGGACATTTCTAATGGACTTTGTTCCGGGTTCCTCCCTCAAAACAAAAACATCCTGGTGGTTCGTAAGCGGAACTGCCAGTCAGCTGGCTGTCATAAACTGGTCACCTATCTAGGGTTTACCCAACCTTTCACCCAGTCAGAGCTGAATGGATGGTTTCAAACAAATATGAACTGATGCGTTACCCTACTGTTTCATTGGTTTCACTAGAGTAGCAGCACAGGAGGAATGTATGACCCAACGTCAGGCCTAATCTAACAGAGCAAATCACAGTAAACTTTAGTCTTGTTTAGCATTTTGCTAATTTCTTTTCTTTTTTTTCTTTTCGTTTACCTCCCCCATCCCAAACCTTTTCTTCCTGTTCTTTTACTGTTTCGTTTCCTAACCTTTCGCTCCCTCCCTACTTACTTTTTTTCCTAAACCCTTATTTTCCCCCTTCTGTTCTTTGCTCCTTGGTCTTGAGTAGAGGTCGTGGTGGAGTACGAATATGAGGCTGCCCACGAGGACGAGCTGACCCTGCGAATAGGGGACATCATCAAGAATGTGCGGTATATTGAGGAGGAGGGCTGGATGGAGGGTGACCTTAACGGGAGAAGGGGTCTTTTCCCTGACAACTTTGTGAAGGTGAGAAAAAATGTCTAGTTCATGTGGACGCTGCATCACAGTTTTGCTGAACCACGTCAGGTAAAAGAGCCCTGTGCCTGTTTAGTTAAACACCACGCTGATATACTCGCAGGAAATGAAGAAAGCCACACACAAAGATCTCGGATTGTATTTTTTTTATAGCCATCTACTGCTCCCTAGTGGAAATATATTATATATATAAAAACATATCACCAGGGCATTTAAGGTTATTGTTTCCTTGTAAATATACATAAAATATATAATCTTTATATGTAATATATTTGACATAACATATATAAAATAGAGTCACAATGACACCTTAATGAGTCATTTATCGCAAACGTTCCCAACTTTTTCAAACATTGAGACATGAGACATGTTCACTGTGAACTAATGAAATCCATTAGTTCATAGGAACACGCCGTAACGCTAGCATACCTTTTTGCATTCCTATTAGCTCAGTTCTATTCACTCTGGCTGCATGCAGTGTCTGCTGCTAAAAAAGTGATGCAAGAGGGTTTATTAGCTGGGCGTGCTGTGGTATTCTTGTGGTTTTGAGATTTCAAGGTTGCCAGGAATCTTATAGCCTTACCTATGATTTTTTTTTTAAGTCAATCATCACCCGACAGCCCAGCTATCGAGGGCAGCCCCCGGTCCTTACGGTTCAGGCCAGCGGCGTAAATCGTGGTCGTGTTAGGCTCGCTTTTTGGCGTTAATAAATAGTATTGATAATTAATAAATATATAATAAAAAAAGTCCAACGTAGAACACACGTTCTGTAAAGAGCCAACCCAGTGCTTTCTTTAACCCTTTCCATTGACATGTGTAGTGACGGATCGGTAATCTGCTAAGCAGCCTGGCCCAGTCACTGAGCTGGGGATAGTTAATCCTCTAAGGAGCCTGCTGCCTGTTGAACTTTGGCCCCTTAGTGCCGTCTAGTCATTTCAAATGTCGTGGTCTTATCGTTCTTCTGTGCCTTTTAATTTGTGTGACACGAACACGCTGCCACGGTAAGGAATCAAGGCGCTTCTTAGAGTTTTACAAACCGGTATTAATATTTTGAAATGTCTTTAATGAGATATTTGTGGATGGATGAAAATGTTTATACGTTTGATGGGGTTTTTTTTTGCCTTTCGGTGGCTGTTTATTTCACTTGTTGTAGAATCGAGATAAAATAAAAGACAAAAAAATAATTCTGGTGCCATCCTATGGTTTGTCCAGCAGATTGCAGTGTAGCTCCTTTTAGCCAGTTCTGTTTACATGTGAGTGGCGGTTGAACACAATTGAACCGTCTGACTCTAACTAAGTACTGAGAAATGAAACAGAATTTAAAGGGTTTCGTAGTCTTTATCAGACTTTATATTTACTTGTAAATATACAGTTCACAAGTTACAAGTAACTAAGTATTTTTTTCAAAATATATATTATATTACATTTGTATTACTGTTAGGGGACTTTCTTTAATTAATATTGAAAAATTAAAAATTGAAAAAAAACAAAAAACTTTAGAGGTAAAGACTGTCCCAATTACACATTACAGTGACTTAGTGTTTCCTTATCTCCGCTGTTCCTGCCCTGCTACATCTGTCACCTGACTTAAGTGAGTCATCGAGAGCGGTTTGTATGTACACACACATTAACAGAGGCACAGCCAGGAAAGAAAGCGATGCAGGTGACGTCCAAATGTTATGCATACTTTTGATGTGTAGTGTGTTATTAATTTCAAAATGCATTTCACTTTGTTTGAGTGTGGAACAAGCTGTGAGGATATTGACAACACAGTGACAAAGTGGCAGGGCGTGCCATCACCACTGTCCCCAGTTCGTACGAAATGCCGACGGTGCGATTTTGACGTCCGTATAAAGCTGACTTCAGCAGAGATAGTCAATGTGTTAATCCAATTAAACCTTACGAGGTGTTAAACTCGTGGGCTATAAAAAAAAAAAAATTAAAAAAAAAATCAGAAGTTTTGTATTATTATAAACAGATCGCAGCCCAGCCAGTTGAGACACTTGGACACGGGATTTTTAACATTTACATTTAAACCTTTTCAGCTCAAAATACTACAAGGGTGATCGTTTTGATTTTGGCGGGAGCAATTTGTAGACATGTTAATGACGTTTTGACCCCCGAATTATAGATATTTGTTCACGAGTACACAAATGTAGTGTGATGAGCTCTATTCAATTTTTTTAATCTACTAGGATGACAAAAGTCATATATATATATATACATATATATGTATATATATGACTTTTGATATATATAGAGCTAGAAAATAATGTACATATATATACATACTGTATATTTATATATTGTTTCCTTTCTGTTATTGCAATTTAATTAACACCCCAATGGTTGACAACAATGTGTAAAAAAAAAAAAAAAAAAAAAACCTGATACCTGAACACCGACTTAACACCTTTTTTTAACACCATCATCTGAAAATCAACACAAATAGATCCACCTCTTCACTTACGCGCACACGCTGCCTTCAAATCACCGTCAGCCAATTGTAAACATCTCTGCCGTGGCTAGCTCTGGATTTAATCAGACCTTATTTCAATATAATTACCGCATGGTAACGTTTGAACAGCAAGTCTGGCTATGAATATAAGTGTTCCGATGCACTTAACAATTCCATTCAAACACAACCAAAAATAATGGCGGTCATTCACCTTGGCTAGACCTCTGTTGATTTCTTATATATGTATCAAGGAGACCAACGGCTCCTTAAAACAGATTCCCAGACATTTTTTCTGGGGACCTATATTTTAGTCACCAACCTTCGTGACCCAAGTCAATAGACATTATTTGTAAAATCTTGGGAAACATGATGCAAGACGACCCCAAAAAACCCCCTCTTGCGACCCATCTGAGGGACGCGACCCGCATGGACCCATGAAATGTCAAAAGTACATCTGCATATTTACATGAGTATTCAACAAAACTTTCTTATGATTTTAACCCCCCCAAAAATGTAATACCCAAGGACACCGAGTACACAGTGTTTGTTTTGTCTAGACTTCAAAATGGAGAAAACAAAGACTGAAAAGACGTTAAAGGAAGCTAGAAGTAGATGTTGTGTTTGTTTAACGTAACATAACAAATCAAAACATAACGTATACAACAATTACGCACAATAATCCAAAGTCAGATACCCGCTATCGTTGCTAATGCGCACATCGCACAAAGTTAAATGGAGCGTTTGGGTTAAGATATCGGATCAGTTCGATCCTGAAAGATGTTCGATTCCTAAAATTTGGACCAATATCGGATCAGTATCGAACGTTAGCATCGGATGGAGCCATCCCTAACTTAAACCGTAAATTGGCAGGTTTGCCTCCATTTTTCAATAGTCCACTGACTCTTCACTGACTGGTGATTCTTACCTTCGTAGGAGCTGAAGAAGGAACCCAAAGAGGTCAAAGAGGTCAAAGAGACAAAGAGCGAGACCAAGGAGGAGAGCTCTCAGCCTCAGAGGAGAGAGAAGAGCGCTGGCAACGTGGCCAACCTGGTTCAGAGGATGAGCACTATAGGCATCCCCACCTGTGGCTTCCTGCCTCAGCCACCGGCTGCTGCAAAGAGTACGATGCTTTGTTTGTCTTTATGAAACTGCACTTTAAAAAAAAAAAAAAATCTTTTATCTGTATCTTTTTAGTCAGGGTTCTTCCAAGTCAAGTTATTTGTGTGGCACCTTGTGTTGCACAAAACACATTTGCCTCTAAGGATAATCCATCAAAATCTATAGAGGATTTTTAAAATTTAGAATTTACCTTACTTCTTTATTAGGCTTTAATACATTCTTCACAAACGTCTATAATTATTTAACTCAAATGAAAAATGCGAAACTACATTTGTAGTACAGTAATACCTTGAGATACGAGCGTAATCCGTTCCAGGATCGAGCCCGTAAATCGAGGTGCTCGTTTCTCAAATCATTTTTTTTCCCATCAGAAATAACAGAAAAAATGAATCCGTTATAGTACGGTCTATAAAGATTCCTGTGATATAAAATAAAATGTGGTTTTAATTATGGGTTCTTGCCTTCGAGACAGAAGATACAGTAGCGGCTAATGGCGTAGTACGACGGAGGGATATAAGGGAGAGAGGAGAGTTGGCCCGTACGTAGACACTTGATTCCGCAGCGTACCTTACACGTACACTACGTAATTTACGTAAACTTAGAATGAACTTAACTTACGTTTTTTTTTTTTTTTTTTT